TTGAGCGTGCACCATCCTCTCACAGTTCCTGGTGCTGACTAGATTGTGCATGTGCCATCCCCAGAGAGTGAGTGAGCATGCTCTATCCTCTGCATGTGGCAACACTCTGGAATTGAGCAGGGAGACTGCAGCCTCTCCACTCCACTGCTGCAGCAACTGAATGCAGTGGGGGAAGGAACGAAGTGGGGAGAAGAGGGAAATGCAGGAGCCAGAAGGTGAAGGGGCAGCAGTGGTGAGGGGGCAGGAAACTGTATGTGGGATAGATAGAAGCAGAGGAGGCTGGAAATGGTAAATAGGTGCAGATGGTAAGTGAAGCAGGAGCTGGTGGGGTTGAATAGGAGCAGAAGGGAGGGAGAAAGGACCCAGGACAGAGAGGTGGATAGGAGCAGAGAGGGAGACGGGAGCTATGGGAAGGGATGGGGGTGTGGTAGGAGCAAAAGTTGCACCCTGAGCAAGTGGAGAGCCCCTTAGCCCTCCTGCACTTAGAGTGAAACCCAGAACTTGCATCTTCAGTCCTCATGGAGAAAATGAACTGTCAAGGAGAGACCATGCAGACCTTTTCTCCAAATCCTGTGAGATGCTGCAAGGCAATCCTCACTCCAAAGAATCTCATGTAAGAAACCTATCATAAAATAGGTCCTAGTCTTTTGGACTGCTGGATTCTCAGTTGGTTTCCCCCATCCTCTGAACAGTGCTTATCCTAGGTCACATTTATTTCTGATTCATCCCTCCACTGAACTTAGTAGAATGGAAATAGGATGTGTTTGGCTATCTATTATACCCCCTTTGCAACCCCACATTTTTCTCTTTTCTTTGAACCTGTACCCAGGGGCGTAGCAGCTAATGGGAATCTTGTCATTTGGTTCATGTTCAGGCTACGTACATGATATATGCATTTTTTTTTATTTAAAGACAAATCATGTTTAGAATGCAATCCAGCTAGGTGCTCAGTGCCTCCTCTGAGATATTCAGCACCCTCAACTGCCACTGATTTCAGTGAGAGCTGTGGTTACTTGGAACAGGTAATTAGATTGTAGCTTTTATTTTCATGGACTCTCTCTTTATTTCTTTTTCTCTCTCAGCCACTGTTTTATAATCCTGTAAGAGGCAAATTCCAAAAAACTTGCTCATCATTGATTTGTCTATTTCTGTTGATCTTTAATTAAAATAAATAGAAAATGTATTTTTAAAAACATAAATACTAGTGAATGCTAATATGGGGGTTGATCCTGCAACCCTTGCTTAGGCAAAAATCAGGTTGAAGCCAGTGGGAATGTTTCCTAATTGAGGACAACAGATCCACAGTCCCAATAAATTAATTCACTTATGGCCCTATTCTCTTATTTCTGAAGTTAATAGGCAAACTCACATGTACTTCAATGGGAGAAGGTTCGGACTCTTATTGAGTGCTTACAATGTGTTCCTAGTTATACAAAGCATAGAGGAGACACTGTCTGTCCCTCAAGGTGCTTACAAAATAATTAAACTGTCAGTGAAGGATCACATTTTCCATCCCACGTGACTGTCTAGTATAATTACCCATAGCTTTCTGATCAATAAGCCGAAAATCTGGTAGAAGTTATGCCATCAATTTAAGTAAGGGGCGGGGGGAAGGTTTGTTTACTTGAGTAGAGTTCTAACTGATCTTGTATACCATGGGGGAGTGATAACTGAGATGGGAAGCGGAGCCTGCAAAACCTCGCCACTGTATCCTTCTGCTCCTTTGTCACAAGGCAGTGAGCTCTGCAGACTGAGGCTAAGGGAAGTCTGTTTTGTGAAATCCACTGTGAAGACTGGAAAGAGGTGTGACTTCCATGGTAGTTGTTCTCTGTAGTATCTCAGCTCCTGGTACATCCGTTTGAGAACTCTTCTGACTGCAGGAAAGAAATGCAGGACGTCTCTCACTGCAGTGATAAACTAGTGAGCTGTGTGTCTGTCCATCTCAGTGCGATTTATGTTTGAATGGGGGGGGCTAGTATGCCTGTGTGTGTGCCTCCAAGGGTCTCAGAGCTGATCGGGTGTTTCTATCTGGCAGCGTTGTAGGGATCTTTCTGTGTGCAGTCTGTTGAGATCTTACTTCACTAGTTTTCTATGAAATTCAAGTTTCTTTCAAATGCTTTAAAATTTTTATTACAGAGAAGGATCTTTTCAACACATTAAATTGCCACCCAGTTCCCAATCAGACTGGTGTTATAAGTGAAAAAGAGGCTCATCCATATGCAAACTGAATGAGTCCCTTCATGAGAAGTAGCCTTTTGCTTTTGCCCTGATAGATGATTGCCCTTGCTTTCTCTCACAGGTTTCCAATGAACCAGATCACATGCGGGAAAGGTGTGTGAACAAAACGGGGGTAGGGAAAAAATTATTTTCTCCTTCCTAAGGAAATTTCAAAGCACTTCCCTCCTTCCCTGCTAGGAACTTTCCTATAGAATTGCCTTCCATGATTATACACAGATGCAAATGCAAAAATCACCCTTCATTTCCTAACCTTATCCATGGCTCCGAAAAAGGGGCAAAAGACAAATGCTGTTAGCAAGAAAAACTCTGTCGGATTGTTAATGAAGTTTCATTTCACCTTCATTCCCTCCCCACTAGGCTAAGATAGGGAAAATGTGAAACTTATAAACCTTTGTACTGACCATAATAAAGTCAATTTCATCTTTAAAGTACAAAACAAGGACTTATCTGACCCTGGAATCCGACTCTAAACTACTCAACACAATTTATTTTAGGACCCTGTGGATTTAAGATCCAAGCTCTATAGTTGATCTGCTGCTTCTGAGAAATGAAACTAATTTTAAATCCATCTATACTAAAAATGAGTACTGAAGCTGATAACCTCTTTGGATAAGAAAAAAGATTTAAAAAAAATTCCTCCATGTAAAATTGGGTTTAAAAAAATATCAAAGGCTTGAGTTGAAGTTTTTATAGGTTCACTTCCCCATTACCAGGAGCTCCTTCTAGATTACCGCAAAGCCTAAAACTGGGACACGTTGGCAGAAACAGCCCTCTGTGTTCTTTTAAAAGCCTGTACAAGGCATTGTTTCACATGAGGTCATTGCTGGAGACACAGCTCCTTATCTCCTTCAAAAGGATCTAGCCACAGCTTCACAGCCAGGCAAGAGAGCTCACAGAATTACAAGAATAAAGGATGCTGATTCGGGGGGCTTTCCTCTCTCTGCCCTCCCTCCTCCTTGCATGCCTTAGTGATTTCCTCTCACACAACTGCTGATTTAGCAGGGAGAAGGGAAATGAAATTTCATTTATTCCTCTCCCCTCCCCATGTAAAGGGCTATAATAAGTGGAAATGATTGATTCTCTTTCAGATGAGTAGCCCGGTGGAAGGAAAAGAACATGTGAAAACCCAGTTACTGAACTCCTCACCTCCCAAAATGTTATTGCTTACACTTAAGTGTGTAAATAAGCAACTTACAAGAAAAACTGTTCTCTCCCCTCCTGCCACTCACTATACATACACACACTCACTAAGGAATCAAGGGTTTGTAACTACTCCACAGCAGTACAGATGGTGAGTCTTTTGCAGTGAGTCCCTTTCAGTTAATAGGAAAAAGGTAAAAGCCGGATCTAGACAAATCCTGCCAGATCCTGCTGATTTTTGCACCCAAGTCCTCAGTTCCATTGCCTGTCTCCAGTTGTTTGCAGTGCTGCAATGCAGAGATGTGCCATACTCTCAAATTTTTTTAGCACACTGGTAGCAGTTGGATGGGTTCTTAGGTGGTGGGATTTGGGGAACCAGCATGCCCAAATTACCAGAATCCATGTCCCAGATCCAGAAGTTTGTGGCACTGCAGCACTGAGATGTGCTGTGTTCAGGAATTTTTTGGTGCACTGATAGTAGTTGGCTGTGTTCTTTATTTGGATAATGGAATTTAGAGGCTTGGGCACAAAAATTGGCAGGATAGAGAAGGATTCATGTCCTGGATCCATGTTTTTTGTGGAGCTAGTGCCGAGATATCTCATATTGTGGAATTTTTCTGCACACTGCTAATGATTGGACATTTTTTATTTAGACAGTGGAATTTTGTGCGCCTGGGTATAAACATTGGCAAGATCTAGCAGAATGCAGCATTTGCTGGCAGGATCCAACTTTTACTCGCATCCCAGATAATTAAGGCTACAATTTTTTTAGTAAATTTCACAGCACAGATGGGGGGGGGGGAGAGGAAGTCACAGAAAGGTCACCCAATGACCCTCCCAGAGCCCTTGAGGGAGCCTCTCCCACCAGCATGACCCTGCTGGAGCCCTGTCCCATCTTCCCTACAGCTCCTTACCAGCAAGAACAAGACCTCAAGTGACTGGTCCACCCTGTAACCCAGACCTGGCCAGTCCCTGGTGCCAAGAGGAGCTATCGCTGCAGTTTCAGCAGCTGGAAGTTGAGTTCTACTGCAGAGTGCAGAGCAGGACCTGGCCGACATGTTACACACAGCATGACTCAGAGCAGAACCTGGGGGCAGGTGGGCTGACTGGGCCACACTGCAGCATATTTTTTCCTGTCCAGGTTTTTAAAAGTCGGGGGCATGGCCTTTTGCCCCCCTCACCTGTCTCCACTGCCTATGGAGCTGGGCCCAAACCTGCAGGGGAGAGCCACCACCGCAGCACAAACTCATCATGGGCTTTATTGAAATTCCTGATTTATTCTGAACACCATGCCTTAGTGCCAAAAGCTTAGCCTTACAGATAGTCCAGTGAAAAGGGATATGTGTCCTTGAGTGTGCTGACCCCTGAAACACTATGTGTATGTACATGTGTTCAGGAGGTGTGCTGGTTGCTCAGGGGGACACAGACAGATACAGCCCGCTGTGTTCCTAAAGACAGGGGATACTTCTCCTGTCTCCCAGCCAAAATGGGAAGAGAGATCTGCTGTTGGGAAGGTGGGTGCAGGGTGCAAGGGGAGGATGAGAAGAGAGTCAGTTTCACTCCTTGTCACTCTGAACTGGGGGCGGAGGAAAGAGAAATCCATTGTGGAAAGCTATAAAAAGTAAAGGGGGCAGTGGGAGACGAGAGCAAAGTGAGAGACTGTCAGAGAACAGTGAGTGTGTGTAGAGATCTGTGCTAAGGACTTTGTCAGTGAGTTTGTCTAGATGTCTGTCTGTTTCTGCCTGTGTGATCCCGACTCCAGGGCTTCAGTCCCCAGGACTCACCCTGTCTGCTTGTCTGCCGGATGCCTGGAGCCCCTCACCCCAGCACCAGCTAGTCTGTAGGAGGAGAACGTGTCCTTTTCACAAACACTGGCTACAGAGGCTGAGGCAAAAGAAAGAAAAAGAAGACGGGAGGGGAATAAAAAGGAGGGAGAGAGAAACAAAACTAATCCCAGCCCTTGACGGTGCTGCTTGGATTGGATCTGGTTTGAGTTTTCTCCCTGCTGACTTGTGTAGCAAGAGAGGAGGAGTGGGGGGAAATAAGTAACTGACTCTTCGTCTGAAGTTTGAGCAAACCTGCGGGGTGACTCCACTGGTGGGAAGCTTTCCTGGGTGCAATTGCCTCATAGTTTATTGCTTCCAGTCACTAAAAAAATTTCTGAACTTCTCAAGAATCTGGAGGAAAAAGCCGTCACTTCACTTGATCTGAGTGTTACTCATTTCCTATAGACTGTACTTTTTTTTTTAGGGGATTCTTTTTCCTGTCTCTCCCAGGACAGCGGTTTCCTGAGCGTGTGGCATTGAAATCTATTGAGTTGTTTTGTTAACAAACTTTGGGAGCATTTTTTTCTTTTATCCCTCTGCTGTTTTTTAAATCCTTTTTTGGTGGGGAGGGGAGATGATGATGCTGATATGGAATAAGTGCTCCTGCTGTCTCCTCTTACTAGCCGTGATCCTGATGGTGGAGAGCTCCCAGCTAGACAGCTCCAGCTCCAAGGTGAACTCCATCAAGTCCACCCTGATGGGGGAGGCTCCAACGCAGGCAACCAACAGATCTGCAGGCATCCACCAGGGACTGGCACTTGGGAGCAGTAAGAAGGGCAAAATCCTAGGGCAGATGGGAAAACCTCCAAAGCACCATCATCGGCAAGGAGAGGTAGGACACATCTCTCTCTTTCTCTCACTAATATGTAAATGATTATTTTTGTGTGATCTCTCTCCCTCTCTATTTCACATAGGTCTAACATTCAACTTTATTATATTTTAAAAAAAGTCAGATTTGTAGTCCCTCTCTTCTTGATAGAGCTTTCCTTCCAAAATGAAATGAATTCACTTCTCCAAGACTGTCAAAGACAACATTGTTTTTAGAGTAGATGTAAGAGGGGGATTTATAAGGTTTTAAACTTTTTTATTTTTCTTAAGTATCAGAAATTGACTCAAGGAGTCAGTAAGCTTAAATGATTGCCTTGAGCATTTCTCTGCTGGAATTGCTCATAAAGACAGCTGGAAATAAAACCATTAATAATAATAATAATTAATAAATAATGAAAAGAGGATGTAGTTGCTTGCTATTTATTTTAGTAAGTCAAGTTTGAACAGATGATGTCAAATTAGAGCTCAAAGAGAAAACGATGTTGCTAGTGATAAAATGAAACCCTTCATAAAAATCACAAGTAGGAGATTGACCAGGAGAAATAATCTTGCGTGAAAGTGTACTAATGAGGGTCAGAAGGCTTTCTAATCCAATATTTTAGCAAAATTCTTGTGCATAGTTATGTGCTTAGGGTGAGGTAGGAAAAGATTTGCATATTTCACTCTGGGACACCCCACAACGTTTGCAGATGTTTTCTTTGGTCATGGCCATGCTATGCTGGGGACAGAATGACAGCCCTCAGGATGGGGAGGGCAAAGTTGAGCTGAAATAAAAAGGAGTTACAGTTACAAAAGTAGGATGGGAACCCGATTTGGCTGTGAACAACAACTCCTTCCTCCTCCTGCTTTGGATACACTCAAATCTGACTGAAACATTTCTGCATTTGTGTTTCCTGAATGGCAAATGATAAAGTAGCGTTTTAAGTCATCAGCCCTCTATTGTCTTTTAGGTCTCCACTTGAATGGCACATTGTAGTGATTGTAAAAATGGTATAGATAGAGCATGCATTATTTTGCTTTGGAAAATATTGGTTTTCATACAATCAGACACTAGTAGCACCTCCAGATACAGCTGCTTTTCATAAGCAACAGACAGTGTTGCGGCAAGGGAGCTGCCAACATTCAGCACTGGAGAGGAAACATACTGAGTGCCTGAAGGGTCCCTGTCCTGTTCACATCTTTGTTTAAAGCAAGGAAGAAGCTGCAAATTCAAGTGATTCATTGAATTCACTGAATTATTTCACAGCAGCTCCCTAATAATTGGATGTAGCTATTTTGTTATGAGTGCATGCAAAACTAGCAATTTGTGATTAGGGTTTTATTTTAAGCTAATTACATGATTTTTGAATCTCTGTAGTTTCCCTTCTCAGACACCACAATTGTTTTATAATTCACATAGAATTCCTTACCTCTGAGCAAAAGTTTAATAGCAGGTGCTGTAGCGAAGTCTCATATTACTAAGATTATTGCATTCTTGTACTACTTTTACATTTACTAGGAAACAATAGAGTATAACTTATTATAACTCACCGTTGACAAAATAAAGGAGCACTGTACATTTTTATTATTCATTCTCCTTGCTTTCTTCACTGTGTTTAATCACCAAGAGGCAGATTTTGCCACTCATTCTCGCACCCCATAATATCTTGCTCTCTGAGCAGTCCCTTAGTTTCTGTGCTGCTGTTCCCACAGTAATGTACTATACAACAAGAGTATGGAAGACAGGATCTGCTATTTGGTATTAATATGGCCACCCTTATTCAGGATAAGATGTCTTTAGCGCTAAAGACATGTTGATACTATTCATCTAGTCCCAGTGAAGTCAGTGGAACTGCTCAGAGTAAGATTTGCAGGACTGGGCCCTTATTTGCTAATTTGAACTATTCGTTCATATATAATGGCTCTCAGTCACTAGCACGAATTAGTGATGCTCTACTGCAAAGCACACTGAGACACCTTTATATAATTATAAATGTCCTTAGTGGGAAAGAAGATGCCACTTAGTTTACACGTCCTGTTTTCATATAATTTGCACTACAAATATATCCCTTCAGCCAAAATCTTGCTCAATTTACTCATGTGACTAGTGTCAATATTTCAATGGATTCCGTGGCTGAGAAAGGCAAACAAGATTTAGCTCCAGGAGCCCCATTCCTGCACTCTTTACTCAGGAAAAACTCCCATTAGAATCAGTGGCTGTTTATCCTGAGCAAGGAATACAGGACCAGCTCCTGTTGAAAGGGTAATGTATTCATTATATTTTCTCATTAATGAAGCTTCATCCTCATTTGTGGCTACATCGTTAGGTGTGGGGTTGGATAGCCATGAAAATTGCTGAGATTTACAACCAGTAATTCTTAGACATTATTTCTTTCTCTCGTTCTTGAAGATAATTAACACAACACTTCAGTAAAAAAACAACAACAAATCTTGTGATGATAGTTCATTTTTTTTGTTGACATTTATGGTTTGAGCGGGTAAGCTGCTGAATTTCTAAACAGTGGTATAGTATATCACAAAACAATTAAAACATGACATTTTAATAATTTCTTAAAATAGAGTTTTATTAAATTAGTACTCTTCCTTGATTTGTTTAGACAATTGGACACTGTAGTGGGAACTTGATATGTTTGTTAAAAGAGCAGCGCTTCCTACATTTTTCTCGCTAATGTTTTTTTCCATAGCGGGACTGATAGTGTGATAAAAATAGCAGTACCTATTATTTCCTTGGTATTAAAATGTTGAGACTTCTATTTTATGTAGAAATAGAAAATGGCTTTTCTAATAATTAGGGCATAAAGTGCAAAGAAACTAATAAAATTTAGTTTTTGGTATTATGACAGCTATGGAGTATGGGCTCAATTATTTGCTTGTGTAAACTGGCAGAGCTCAACTGAAGTGAAGAGAACACTTCCAGCAAAGAATTTGGTTCACTCTGAACAAGAGAACGATAGCCAACAATTAGTTGTTGGGGTGTGTGTGTGTGTGTGTGTGTTTCTTTTTTTGGTTAGACCAGTATGCCTTTGGTGCATTTCTTACATTGATTTACATCCTATGATGATCTGCATCATCAAGATTAGGATTGACTCTAATTTAATCAATTTAAAGAAATGAATGTGTTAATAGTCCATGATTTCTCTGGAATATTGATATGTTTCCTCTAGCAATTGACACTTAATAATGCTTTCACTTAGAAGCGCAAGATCATCCCTTTCTTTCTCAGGCAAAGCTCCTATTGAAGCCAATGGGAATATTCGTATGAGTAAGGCAAGCAGAATCTGGTCTGAGATTATATCTACGCAGCAATTAAATACCTGTGGCTGGCCTGGGTCCGCTGACTCGGGCTCATAGGGCTTGGCCTGCGGGGCTGTAAAATTGCGGTGTAGATGTTCAGGCTTGGCTTGGATCTTTAGCTCTGGACCCCATAAGTGAGGAGAATCCCAGAGCCCGGCCTCCGGCCTGACACCCCACAGCAATTTTTATCCTGCAAGGCAAAGCCCTCAGAGCTGAGGTCAGCTGACCCGGGCCAGCCATGGGCATGCCTCAGGTCTTTTATTCTAGTGTAGGCATACGCATACGGGGCAATCAGGAGGAATATGATTTTTGAATAATTCTTGAACACAATTATGCCTATACAATGAGCATTATTTCTTTAAAAATAGCCATAACATAATTTAGCAGTTTTTAAATTACAGAGAGTGAGAGATCATAGAATTGCTAAATTATTTGGATTTTGGCTGTCCCTTCATCCCTGTCATTCCTCTTCTCATTTTATGGTTGTTTATCCACTTTCACGAAAGTGCAAAATGTACAAGCAGTCACACTAGGGAAAATATATAGACATATGGGGCCATATGTGCCTCCATTTACTCAGTAAGGGCCTGATTCTGTGTTACTGACTCACATGAGTAATCCCACAAGGAAAGGCAGCAGAATCAGGCCCTAGGTTAGTTGCTGCTCCGTGAGGCTCAGTGAAATCAATGGTTTCTTTTCCTGAATCAAGTGAGCAGGAATAGTGTAAGAATGTGCTATTCTAAGAGGGCCTGGTGACATGTCATCACCTCCTCTCACTTTTCTTTTTAATTTTGGCTTCTTGAGAGAGAGATTATGGAGTTATAATCTTTTAAAAAAAATTTAAGGTTAATGAAAAATGCCAGATTAGCAGCACTGCGAATTGAATTTTTCTAGCCACGTATCGTGTATAGTTTACACAATTGCAGGGCAAGCTTTCCCATGCTGTCCCCCACTGTTCTGAAATGATCACTTTTATGGGCAAAATTCTTACTCCTGGTTGAAAGTAATGAAGATTCCCTTGACTTCAGTGAGACTATTTGTATACTGTCTCCGTACCTCACTTCACTGCAATTTGCATTTACCCCTCTCTTTCCTAGAGACTCTCCACTCTCTGTGCTTCAGCCTTTCCGAGTTCCACTGTAGGTATAGGTCCCTCCCGTTTTCTGACTCCATCCTCTCTGCTGTGCTCTATCCACCTACTATCTGCAACTACTTTCCTTTACTAATGCATGGGTCCTAGTACTCCCCCCCCACACTTTCCCTAACCCCAGCTACAGGTCCCTTCTCCCACTGCAGCTGGCCAAAAGAGCAGATGCTGAGTAACTGAACTGGATCTCCGCTCCTCAATGGGCCTACCCTTTCGTGGTGGTGGTGGGAGTTGTTGAGGGAGTGAGCAATAGCTTTCAGTTGGGCGAGAGAAAAGAACGAGGGGTTAAGAAGTTAGAGGAAAGAGCAAGTGAGAAATTGAGTGGGTAAAAAAAGGCTAGTTAAGGGAGAAACAGAGTGAGGAAAGTGGAGAACATAAGACGTTGAAACCAGCAAACCTTTGAGTTCAGATGGGGTTTTTTTGTTTTGGTTTTTGTGTGTGTGTTTTGACTATAAGCTTTATCTGAGCTGAATCCAAAATGGCAGAGCTTTGTACACCTCTAATATTCACCAGCTCATTTACATAATAGTGTTTCCCAACTGGACATAATTACCAGCATGAAC